TGTGAGTCTAAACGTGATGAGTTGCAGGCCTAATTCAAGCAGAGCTAGCACGCATGTCGACAAACCGTGAAGAATTGCAGTCTGTTGAAGCTTTGTACCAACGAGTGAAGAGCTTGCCAAACAAGTGGACGAGACAAAGTCGAAATACGCTGACTTTGAAAAGCAAGAAGCGAAGTTGCGAGAAGAGCTAAAATACGCCAAGGAACAGCAGAAGGAGCTGCAGTCAATGCAGAAGAAAGAGCTAAAGAAACAGAAGAACAATTTGGGCAAAAAGTGCAGGAAAATGAGGAGCTAGTGCCGGAATTGGAAAAGGAGGTAGAGAAAGTGCAGGCGAAACTCAAGAGCAAGTGCTACAGGGTATTTTCGAGAGTCACAAAGAAGAAACAGCCAAGTTACGTAGCAACATGGAGGCTATTCAGCAGGATATGGAGCCGTTTTGGACAGAAATGAATGCTTTGCGGTCAGTGATCAACACAACGGACGTAGATCCAGCTTGTAGAGGAGCCTGTAAGAAGGCACTTGAAGCCAACGCCTGCGGTATAGTCGAGCCGAAGTGAACCTGCGCAGGCTCGAAGAAGACCAGAATGAGAAGCGTGCAGATGGCGAACCGTCAATGAGATCAGGCAGTAATCCATGGCAAAACCCACATCTGGAAGGATTTCGTGCCGAAGCGCTTGAGTATCTCTGTAAAGAGAAGGAAGGGTACATGACAACAAACATTCTGTACCAATTTTGGATCCAAGAGGCGTCAAAGAACCGCAAGTTGTGTGAGTCTAAACGTGATGAGTTGCAGGCCTAATTCAAGCAGAGCTAGCACGCATGTCGACAAACCGTGAAGAATTGCAGTCTGTTGAAGCTTTGTACCAACGAGTGAAGAGCTTGCCAAACAAGTGGACGAGACAAAGTCGAAATACGCTGACTTTGAAAAGCAAGAAGCGAAGTTGCGAGAAGAGCTAAAATACGCCAAGGAACAGCAGAAGGAGCTGCAGTCAATGCAGAAGAAAGAGCTAAAGAAACAGAAGAACAATTTGGGCAAAAAGTGCACGAAAATGAAGAGCTAGTGCCGGAGTTGGAAAAGGAGGTTGAGAAAGTGCAGGCGAAACTCAAGAGCAAGTGCTACAGGGTATTTTCGAGAGTCACAACGAAGAAACAGCCAAGTTACGTAGCAACATGGAGGCTATTCAGCAGGATATGGAGCCGTTTTGGACAGAAATGAATGCTTTGCGGTCAGTGATCAGCACAACGGACGTAGATCCAGCTTGTAGAGGAGCCTGTAAGAAGGCACTTGAAGCCAACGCCTGCGGTATAGTCGAGCCGAAGTGAACCTGCGCAGGCTCGAAGAAGACCAGAATGAGAAGCGTGCAGATGGCGAACCGTCAATGAGATCAGGCAGTAATTCATGGCAAAACCCACATCTGGAAGGATTTCGTGCCGAAGCGCTTGAGTATCTCCGTAAAGAGAAGGAAGGGTACATGACAACAAACATTCTGTACCAATTTTGGATCCAAGAGGCGTCAAAGAACCGCAAGTTGTGTGAGTCTAAACGTGATGAGTTGCAGGCCTAATTCAAGCAGAGCTAGCACGCATGTCGACAAACCGTGAAGAATTGCAGTCTGTTGAAGCTTTGTACCAACGAGTGAAGAGCTTGCCAAACAAGTGGACGAGACAAAGTCGAAATACGCTGACTTTGAAAAGCAAGAAGCGAAGTTGCGAGAAGAGCTAAAATACGCCAAGGAACAGCAGAAGGAGCTGCAGTCAATGCAGAAGAAAGAGCTAAAGAAACAGAAGAACAATTTGGGCAAAAAGTGCACGAAAATGAAGAGCTAGTGCCGGAGTTGGAAAAGGAGGTTGAGAAATTGCAGGCGAAACTCAAGAGCAAGTGCTACAGGGTATTTTCGAGAGTCACAACGAAGAAACAGCCAAGTTACGTAGCAACATGGAGGCTATTCAGCAGGATATGGAGCCGTTTTGGACAGAAATGAATGCTTTGCGGTCAGTGATCAACACAACGGACGTAGATCCAGCTTGTAGAGGAGCCTGTAAGAAGGCACTTGAAGCCAACGCCTGCGGTATAGTCGAGCCGAAGTGAACCTGCGCAGGCTCGAAGAAGACCAGAATGAGAAGCGTGCAGATGGCGAACCGTCAATGAGATCAGGCAGTAATCCATGGCAAAACCCACATCTGGAAGGATTTCGTGCCGAAGCGCTTGAGTATCTCCGTAAAGAGAAGGAAGGGTACATGACAACAAACATTCTGTACCAATTTTGGATCCAAGAGGCGTCAAAGAACCGCAAGTTGTGTGAGTCTAAACGTGATGAGTTGCAGGCCTAATTCAAGCAGAGCTAGCACGCATGTCGACAAACCGTGAAGAATTGCAGTTTGTTGAAGCTTTGTACCAACGAGTGAAGAGCTTGCCAAACAAGTGGACGAGACAAAGTCGAAATACGCTGACTTTGAAAAGCAAGAAGCGAAGTTGCGAGAAGAGCTAAAATACGCCAAGGAACAGCAGAAGGAGCTGCAGTCAATGCAGAAGAAAGAGCTAAAGAAACAGAAGAACAATTTGGGCAAAAAGTGCACGAAAATGAAGAGCTAGTGCCGGAGTTGGAAAAGGAAGTAGAGAAAGTGCAGGCGAAACTCAAGAGCAAGTGCTACAGGGTATTTTCGAGAGTCACAACGAAGAAACAGCCAAGTTACGTAGCAACATGGAGGCTATTCAGCAGGATATGGAGCCGTTTTGGACAGAAATGAATGCTTTGCGGTCAGTGATCAACACAACGGACGTAGATCTAGATTGTAGAAGAGCCTGTAAGAAGGCACTTGAAGCCAACGCCTGCGGTATAGTCGAGCCGAAGTGAACCTGCGCAGGCTCGAAGAAGACCAGAATGAGAAGCGTGCAGATGGCGAACCGTCAATGAGATCAGGCAGTAATCCATGGCAAAACCCACATCTGGAAGGATTTCGTGCCGAAGCGCTTGAGTATCTCTGTAAAGAGAAGGAAGGGTACATGACAACAAACATTCTGTACCAATTTTGGATCCAAGAGGCGTCAAAGAACCGCAAGTTGTGTGAGTCTAAACGTGATGAGTTGCAGGCCTAATTCAAGCAGAGCTAGCACGCATGTCGACAAACCGTGAAGAATTGCAGTTTGTTGAAGCTTTGTACCAACGAGTGAAGAGCTTGCCAAACAAGTGGACGAGACAAAGTCGAAATACGCTGACTTTGAAAAGCAAGAAGCGAAGTTGCGAGAAGAGCTAACATACGCCAAGGAACAGCAGAAGGAGCTGCAGTCAATGCAGAAGAAAGAGCTAAAGAAACAGAAGAACAATTTGGGCAAAAAGTGCAGGAAAATGAGGAGCTAGTGCCGGAGTTGGAAAAGGAAGTAGAGAAAGTGCAGGCGAAACTCAAGAGCAAGTGCTACAGGGTATTTTCGAGAGTCACAAAGAAGAAACAGCCAAGTTACGTAGCAACATGGAGGCTATTCAGCAGGATATGGAGCCGTTTTGGACAGAAATGAATGCTTTGCGGTCAGTGATCAACACAACGGACGTAGATCCAGCTTGTAGAGGAGCCTGTAAGAAGGCACTTGAAGCCAACTCCTGCGGTATAGTCGAGCCGAAGTGAACCTGCGCAGGCTCGAAGAAGACCAGAATGAGAAGCGTGCAGATGGCGAACCGTCAATGAGATCAGGCAGTAATCCATGGCAAAACCCACATCTGGAAGGATTTCGTGCCGAAGCGCTTGAGTATCTCCGTAAAGAGAAGGAAGGGTACATGACAACAAACATTCTGTACCAATTTTGGATCCAAGAGGCGTCAAAGAACCGCAAGTTGTGTGAGTCTAAACGTGATGAGTTGCAGGCCTAATTCAAGCAGAGCTAGCACGCATGTCGACAAACCGTGAAGAATTGCAGTTTGTTGAAGCTTTGTACCAACGAGTGAAGAGCTTGCCAAACAAGTGGACGAGACAAAGTCGAAATACGCTGACTTTGAAAAGCAAGAAGCGAAGTTGCGAGAAGAGCTAAAATACGCCAAGGAACAGCAGAAGGAGCTGCAGTCAATGCAGAAGAAAGAGCTAAAGAAACAGAAGAACAATTTGGGCAAAAAGTGCACGAAAATGAAGAGCTAGTGCCGGAGTTGGAAAAGGAAGTAGAGAAAGTGCAGGCGAAACTCAAGAGCAAGTGCTACAGGGTATTTTCGAGAGTCACAACGAAGAAACAGCCAAGTTACGTAGCAACATGGAGGCTATTCAGCAGGATATGGAGCCGTTTTGGACAGAAATGAATGCTTTGCGGTCAGTGATCAACACAACGGACGTAGATCCAGCTTGTAGAGGAGCCTGTAAGAAGGCACTTGAAGCCAACGCCTGCGGTATAGTCGAGCCGAAGTGAACCTGCGCAGGCTCGAAGAAGACCAGAATGAGAAGCGTGCAGATGGCGAACCGTCAATGAGATCAGGCAGTAATCCATGGCAAAACCCACATCTGGAAGGATTTCGTGCCGAAGCGCTTGAGTATCTCCGTAAAGAGAAGGAAGGGTACATGACAACAAACATTCTGTACCAATTTTGGATCCAAGAGGCGTCAAAGAACCGCAAGTTGTGTGAGTCTAAACGTGATGAGTTGCAGGCCTAATTCAAGCAGAGCTAGCACGCATGTCGACAAACCGTGAAGAATTGCAGTTTGTTGAAGCTTTGTACCAACGAGTGAAGAGCTTGCCAAACAAGTGGACGAGACAAAGTCGAAATACGCTGACTTTGAAAAGCAAGAAGCGAAGTTGCGAGAAGAGCTAAAATACGCCAAGGAACAGCAGAAGGAGCTGCAGTCAATGCAGAAGAAAGAGCTAAAGAAACAGAAGAACAATTTGGGCAAAAAGTGCACGAAAATGAAGAGCTAGTGCCGGAGTTGGAAAAGGAAGTAGAGAAAGTGCAGGCGAAACTCAAGAGCAAGTGCTACAGGGTATTTTCGAGAGTCACAACGAAGAAACAGCCAAGTTACGTAGCAACATGGAGGCTATTCAGCAGGATATGGAGCCGTTTTGGACAGAAATGAATGCTTTGCGGTCAGTGATCAGCACAACGGACGTAGATCCAGCTTGTAGAGGAGCCTGTAAGAAGGCACTTGAAGCCAACGCCTGCGGTATAGTCGAGCCGAAGTGAACCTGCGCAGGCTCGAAGAAGACCAGAATGAGAAGCGTGCAGATGGCGAACCGTCAATGAGATCAGGCAGTAATCCATGGCAAAACCCACATCTGGAAGAATTTCGTGCCGAAGCGCTTGAGTATCTTCGTAAAGAGAAGGAAGGGTACATGACAACAAACATTCTGTACCAATTTTGGATCCAAGAGGCGTCAAAGAACCGCAAGTTGTGTGAGTCTAAACGTGATGAGTTGCAGGCCTAATTCAAGCAGAGCTAGCACGCATGTCGACAAACCGTGAAGAATTGCAGTTTGTTGAAGCTTTGTACCAACGAGTGAAGAGCTTGCCAAACAAGTGGACGAGACAAAGTCGAAATACGCTGACTTTGAAAAGCAAGAAGCGAAGTTGCGAGAAGAGCTAACATACGCCAAGGAACAGCAGAAGGAGCTGCAGTCAATGCAGAAGAAAGAGCTAAAGAAACAGAAGAACAATTTGGGCAAAAAGTGCACGAAAATGAAGAGCTAGTGCCGGAGTTGGAAAAGGAAGTAGAGAAAGTGCAGGCGAAACTCAAGAGCAAGTGCTACAGGGTATTTTCGAGAGTCACAAAGAAGAAACAGCCAAGTTACGTAGCAACATGGAGGCTATTCAGCAGGATATGGAGCCGTTTTGGACAGAAATGAATGCTTTGCGGTCAGTGATCAGCACAACGGACGTAGATCCAGCTTGTAGAGGAGCCTGTAAGAAGGCACTTGAAGCCAACGCCTGCGGTATAGTCGAGCCGAAGTGAACCTGCGCAGGCTCGAAGAAGACCAGAATGAGAAGCGTGCAGATGGCGAACCGTCAATGAGATCAGGCAGTAATCCATGGCAAAACCCACATCTGGAAGGATTTCGTGCCGAAGCGCTTGAGTATCTCCGTAAAGAGAAGGAAGGGTACATGACAACAAACATTCTGTACCAATTTTGGATCCAAGAGGCGTCAAAGAACCGCAAGTTGTGTGAGTCTAAACGTGATGAGTTGCAGGCCTAATTCAAGCAGAGCTAGCACGCATGTCGACAAACCGTGAAGAATTGCAGTTTGTTGAAGCTTTGTACCAACGAGTGAAGAGCTTGCCAAACAAGTGGACGAGACAAAGTCGAAATACGCTGACTTTGAAAAGCAAGAAGCGAAGTTGCGAGAAGAGCTAAAATACGCCAAGGAACAGCAGAAGGAGCTGCAGTCAATGCAGAAGAAAGAGCTAAAGAAACAGAAGAACAATTTGGGCAAAAAGTGCACGAAAATGAAGAGCTAGTGCCGGAGTTGGAAAAGGAGGTTGAGAAAGTGCAGGCGAAACTCAAGAGCAAGTGCTACAGGGTATTTTCGAGAGTCACAAAGAAGAAACAGCCAAGTTACGTAGCAACATGGAGGCTATTCAGCAGGATATGGAGCCGTTTTGGACAGAAATGAATGCTTTGCGGTCAGTGATCAGCACAACGGACGTAGATCCAGCTTGTAGAGGAGCCTGTAAGAAGGCACTCGAAGCCAACGCCTGCGGTATAGTCGAGCCGAAGTGAACCTGCGCAGGCTCGAAGAAGACCAGAATGAGAAGCGTGCAGATGGCGAACCGTCAATGAGATCAGGCAGTAATCCATGGCAAAACCCACATCTGGAAGGATTTCGTGCCGAAGCGCTTGAGTATCTCCGTAAAGAGAAGGAAGGGTACATGACAACAAACATTCTGTACCAATTTTGGATCCAAGAGGCGTCAAAGAACCGCAAGTTGTGTGAGTCTAAACGTGATGAGCTGCAGGCCTAATTCAAGCAGAGCTAGCACGCATGTCGACAAACCGTGAAGAATTGCAGTCTGTTGAAGCTTTGTACCAACGAGTGAAGAGCTTGCCAAACAAGTGGACGAGACAAAGTCGAAATACGCTGACTTTGAAAAGCAAGAAGCGAAGTTGCGAGAAGAGCTAACATACGCCAAGGAACAGCAGAGCTGCAGTCAATGCAGAAGAAAGAGCTAAAGAAACAGAAGAACAATTTAGGCAAAAAGTGCACGAAAATGAAGAGCTAGTGCCGGAGTTGGAAAAGGAAGTAGAGAAATTGCAGGCGAAACTCAAGAGCAAGTGCTACAGGGTATTTTCGAGAGTCACAAAGAAGAAACAGCCAAGTTACGTAGCAACATGGAGGCTATTCAGCAGGATATGAAGCCGTTTTGGACAGAAATGAATGCTCTGCGGTCAGTGATCGACACAAGGGACATAGATCTTGCTTGTAGAGGAGCCTGTAAGAAGGCACTTGAAGCCAACTCCTGCGGTATAGTCGAGCCGAAGTGAACCTGCGCAGGCTCGAAGAAGACCAGAATGAGAAGCGTGCAGATGGCGAACCGTCAATGAGATCAGGCAGTAATTCATGGCAAAACCCACATCTGGAAGGATTTCGTGCCGAAGCGCTTGAGTATCTCCGTAAAGAGAAGGAAGGGTACATGACAACAAACATTCTGTACCAATTTTGGATCCAAGAGGCGTCAAAGAACCGCAAGTTGTGTGAGTCTAAACGTGATGAGTTGCAGGCCTAATTCAAGCAGAGCTAGCACGCATGTCGACAAACCGTGAAGAATTGCAGTTTGTTGAAGCTTTGTACCAACGAGTGAAGAGCTTGCCAAACAAGTGGACGAGACAAAGTCGAAATACGCTGACTTTGAAAAGCAAGAAGCGAAGTTGCGAGAAGAGCTAACATACGCCAAGGAACAGCAGAAGGAGCTGCAGTCAATGCAGAAGAAAGAGCTAAAGAAACAGAAGAACAATTTGGGCAAAAAGTGCACGAAAATGAAGAGCTAGTGCCGGAGTTGGAAAAGGAGGTTGAGAAATTGCAGGCGAAACTCAAGAGCAAGTGCTACAGGGTATTTTCGAGAGTCACAAAGAAGAAACAGCCAAGTTACGTAGCAACATGGAGGCTATTCAGCAGGATATGGAGCCGTTTTGGACAGAAATGAATGCTTTGCGGTCAGTGATCAGCACAACGGACGTAGATCCAGCTTGTAGAGGAGCCTGTAAGAAGGCACTTGAAGCCAACGCCTGCGGTATAGTCGAGCCGAAGTGAACCTGCGCAGGCTCGAAGAAGACCAGAATGAGAAGCGTGCAGATGGCGAACCGTCAATGAGATCAGGCAGTAATCCATGGCAAAACCCACATCTGGAAGAATTTCGTGCCGAAGCGCTTGAGTATCTTCGTAAAGAGAAGGAAGGGTACATGACAACAAACATTCTGTACCAATTTTGGATCCAAGAGGCGTCAAAGAACCGCAAGTTGTGTGAGTCTAAACGTGATGAGTTGCAGGCCTAATTCAAGCAGAGCTAGCACGCATGTCGACAAACCGTGAAGAATTGCAGTTTGTTGAAGCTTTGTACCAACGAGTGAAGAGCTTGCCAAACAAGTGGACGAGACAAAGTCGAAATACGCTGACTTTGAAAAGCAAGAAGCGAAGTTGCGAGAAGAGCTAACATACGCCAAGGAACAGCAGAAGGAGCTGCAGTCAATGCAGAAGAAAGAGCTAAAGAAACAGAAGAACAATTTGGGCAAAAAGTGCACGAAAATGAAGAGCTAGTGCCGGAGTTGGAAAAGGAAGTAGAGAAAGTGCAGGCGAAACTCAAGAGCAAGTGCTACAGGGTATTTTCGAGAGTCACAAAGAAGAAACAGCCAAGTTACGTAGCAACATGGAGGCTATTCAGCAGGATATGGAGCCGTTTTGGACAGAAATGAATGCTTTGCGGTCAGTGATCAGCACAACGGACGTAGATCCAGCTTGTAGAGGAGCCTGTAAGAAGGCACTTGAAGCCAACGCCTGCGGTATAGTCGAGCCGAAGTGAACCTGCGCAGGCTCGAAGAAGACCAGAATGAGAAGCGTGCAGATGGCGAACCGTCAATGAGATCAGGCAGTAATCCATGGCAAAACCCACATCTGGAAGGACCTCGTGCCGAAGCGCTTGAGTATCTCCGTAAAGAGAAGGAAGGGTACATGACAACAAACATTCTGTACCAATTTTGGATCCAAGAGGCGTCAAAGAACCGCAAGTTGTGTGAGTCTAAACGTGATGAGCTGCAGGCCTAATTCAAGCAGAGCTAGCACGCATGTCGACAAACCGTGAAGAATTGCAGTCTGTTGAAGCTTTGTACCAACGAGTGAAGAGCTTGCCAAACAAGTGGACGAGACAAAGTCGAAATACGCTGACTTTGAAAAGCAAGAAGCGAAGTTGCGAGAAGAGCTAACATACGCCAAGGAACAGCAGAAGGAGCTGCAGTCAATGCAGAAGAAAGAGCTAAAGAAACAGAAGAACAATTTGGGCAAAAAGTGCACGAAAATGAAGAGCTAGTGCCGGAGTTGGAAAAGGAAGTAGAGAAATTGCAGGCGAAACTCAAGAGCAAGTGCTACAGGGTATTTTCGAGAGTCACAAAGAAGAAACAGCCAAGTTACGTAGCAACATGGAGGCTATTCAGCAGGATATGAAGCCGTTTTGGACAGAAATGAATGCTCTGCGGTCAGTGATCGACACAAGGGACATAGATCTTGCTTGTAGAGGAGCCTGTAAGAAGGCACTTGAAGCCAACTCCTGCGGTATAGTCGAGCCGAAGTGAACCTGCGCAGGCTCGAAGAAGACCAGAATGAGAAGCGTGCAGATGGCGAACCGTCAATGAGATCAGGCAGTAATTCATGGCAAAACCCACATCTGGAAGGATTTCGTGCCGAAGCGCTTGAGTATCTCCGTAAAGAGAAGGAAGGGTACATGACAACAAACATTCTGTACCAATTTTGGATCCAAGAGGCGTCAAAGAACCGCAAGTTGTGTGAGTCTAAACGTGATGAGTTGCAGGCCTAATTCAAGCAGAGCTAGCACGCATGTCGACAAACCGTGAAGAATTGCAGTTTGTTGAAGCTTTGTACCAACGAGTGAAGAGCTTGCCAAACAAGTGGACGAGACAAAGTCGAAATACGCTGACTTTGAAAAGCAAGAAGCGAAGTTGCGAGAAGAGCTAACATACGCCAAGGAACAGCAGAAGGAGCTGCAGTCAATGCAGAAGAAAGAGCTAAAGAAACAGAAGAACAATTTGGGCAAAAAGTGCAGGAAAATGAAGAGCTAGTGCCGGAGTTGGAAAAGGAAGTAGAGAAAGTGCAGGCGAAACTCAAGAGCAAGTGCTACAGGGTATTTTCGAGAGTCACAACGAAGAAACAGCCAAGTTACGTAGCAACATGGAGGCTATTCAGCAGGATATGGAGCTGTTTTGGACAGAAATGAATGCTTTGCGGTCAGTGATCAACACAACGGACGTAGATCTAGATTGTAGAAGAGCCTGTAAGAAGGCACTTGAAGCCAACGCCTGCGGTATAGTCGAGCCGAAGTGAACCTGCGCAGGCTCGAAGAAGACCAGAATGAGAAGCGTGCAGATGGCGAACCGTCAATGAGATCAGGCAGTAATCCATGGCAAAACCCACATCTGGAAGGATTTCGTGCCGAAGCGCTTGAGTATCTCCGTAAAGAGAAGGAAGGGTACATGACAACAAACATTCTGTACCAATTTTGGATCCAAGAGGCGTCAAAGAACCGCAAGTTGTGTGAGTCTAAACGTGATGAGTTGCAGGCCTAATTCAAGCAGAGCTAGCACGCATGTCGACAAACCGTGAAGAATTGCAGTTTGTTGAAGCTTTGTACCAACGAGTGAAGAGCTTGCCAAACAAGTGGACGAGACAAAGTCGAAATACGCTGACTTTGAAAAGCAAGAAGCGAAGTTGCGAGAAGAGCTAACATACGCCAAGGAACAGCAGAAGGAGCTGCAGTCAATGCAGAAGAAAGAGCTAAAGAAACAGAAGAACAATTTGGGCAAAAAGTGCACGAAAATGAAGAGCTAGTGCCGGAGTTGGAAAAGGAAGTAGAGAAATTGCAGGCGAAACTCAAGAGCAAGTGCTACAGGGTATTTTCGAGAGTCACAACGAAGAAACAGCCAAGTTACGTAGCAACATGGAGGCTATTCAGCAGGATATGGAGCCGTTTTGGACAGAAATGAATGCTTTGCGGTCAGTGATCAACACAACGGACGTAGATCCAGCTTGTAGAGGAGCCTGTAAGAAGGCACTTGAAGCCAACGCCTGCGGTATAGTCGAGCCGAAGTGAACCTGCGCAGGCTCGAAGAAGACCAGAATGAGAAGCGTGCAGATGGCGAACCGTCAATGAGATCAGGCAGTAATCCATGGCAAAACCCACATCTGGAAGGATTTCGTGCCGAAGCGCTTGAGTATCTCCGTAAAGAGAAGGAAGGGTACATGACAACAAACATTCTGTACCAATTTTGGATCCAAGAGGCGTCAAAGAACCGCAAGTTGTGTGAGTCTAAACGTGATGAGTTGCAGGCCTAATTCAAGCAGAGCTAGCACGCATGTCGACAAACCGTGAAGAATTGCAGTTTGTTGAAGCTTTGTACCAACGAGTGAAGAGCTTGCCAAACAAGTGGACGAGACAAAGTCGAAATACGCTGACTTTGAAAAGCAAGAAGCGAAGTTGCGAGAAGAGCTAAAATACGCCAAGGAACAGCAGAAGGAGCTGCAGTCAATGCAGAAGAAAGAGCTAAAGAAACAGAAGAACAATTTGGGCAAAAAGTGCACGAAAATGAGGAGCTAGTGCCGGAGTTGGAAAAGGAAGTAGAGAAATTGCAGGCGAAACTCAAGAGCAAGTGCTACAGGGTATTTTCGAGAGTCACAACGAAGAAACAGCCAAGTTACGTAGCAACATGGAGGCTATTCAGCAGGATATGGAGCCGTTTTGGA